GCTTTGCACTCCTTCTCAAGCCGCTTCAGATTGTCAAATAATTCTTTGTAATCGACCTGAAAGACAGAAAAAATACTGGAAAACAGGATGAGAGAAACACAAATAGATTGACGTCCACACCATTCTCACACGCTTTGCCGATCATGACTTAAAGGCAGTGGTCACGACTTTGTAGGGTGGCGCGATTTGGATGATGCCATTGGACGTCATTGTGGGCTAGACTCCTCAGCGCGCTGGTGGTGCGTTGAGACCACATTTTAACGCCCTTTTCCTAGTAACGTTCATTGACGGACGTCATCAACATCGCAACGCCCTCCAACCATCGTGGTCACTGCCTTTAAGTCATGATCGGCAAAGCGTGTGAGAATGGTGTGGACGTCAATCTATTTGTGTTTCTCTCATCCTGTTTCCAGTATTTTTTCTGTCTTTCAGGTCGATTACAAAGAATTATTTGACAATCTGAAGCGGCTTGAGAAGGAGTGCAAAGCGAGCTGGGACTATTTGGCAAAGGTGACAATTCATTCACGTTGACCTCTTCCAGTACCGGACGGTTGTGGCTTCTGGGAGTATTGCGAACATGGCGAATCCCATTTCAGTAAGGTTAAAATTCAGTTCAGTTCCGTTTCAGATCTCGAAAAACGACAACTCGTCCATGCGCCAAAAGATCAACGATTATCTGACAGACGTCGCGCAACGAATTCACCAGCTCAACACCATTCATAACGTCACCATCAACAGGTGAATTTATGACGAATGCTTATACGACCGTAACAATTTCTTGAGAATGGGATAATTTGGGTTTTATAGTGAATCGAATAGGTCTTTTAGCGAATCGGTAGAATAGTGCGTCTTAATCTTACGATCTTTAATCGCTGTTGTCATCCGAAATCTCCGGTATCTGCTTACAAGTCCATGAAGGCAGATCCAGCGAATGTATAGATGTGGGGTATTACGTCCGAAAATGACAACATTTCTGGTTACTGGTATACCCTTAATGGAAGAAAACGAGAATTCTGCTAGAGTTCTCGAAATCACAATGCGCGCTGATCGTATGGGCGGAGTTTGCGCCCCGCCTCTGCAGAAGTTTCCTGGGATAGCTCTTCTTTTTAGAAAAGTAGAGTCTTGTAGAAGACGGTAACGAAGTTAGGTCAACCAATGAGACTTCCAGAGGCGGGCGCAAATCCCGCTCCCTACCGTCACCGCAAATAAGAGTTTTCAGCCATTTTTAAAAGTTTTCTTGAACAATATTTTTCTCTTACCTTGTGAATTTTTAAGGTGGCACGCTTTTCTGCTTTACTTCGGCTACGCAGTGAATGAGATTCCCGATCAAAATCCAAACGATGTCTTCAAAATGGTAAGCGCATCGAATTCTAGTTCAACTTTTTCTCTTTTTCTCAGCAGAAAAAAGGGTGTTTCTTCAGGTCACGGAATTCGCTTTGGAATATCGTACAACGCGTGAGAAAATCCTTCAACAACGTAAGCGTATGGCTGAGAAACGAGAAAGGAACAAAACGAGGTGAGTGGATTAGACCATGGTGACTGTTGACATTAAGTACCTCCATGCAAATGTGGCAATTCAGAGGCAAAATCTGGGCTCTGGAAGGCACTGCTGAAGGTGGTGACCCGAATCGGCGAAGAAGAACCTCACAAAATGGACCCAATTCACTGCAGGTATTAGAATTTACCGATTAATATGCTTGATTTGTCAACTCGCAGTAGAGCTCCCACCGAATCGTCAGGATCTCCAGCATGGTTTAGGAGGCGGCATCACGTTTTCATGGGGCAGGAAGAAAAGAAAATGTGACTCATCATAAAGATGACCTATGAACCCGAAACCCAAAACCCAAGAAAACGAACCCAAAGACTTAAGCAAACCAGCCCTTTTGGCGCTTCGGCTGGGACCGTGTGCTGAATGTTGGGGAGGGATGGAGTCCCCGACGGTGGACGGACCACGTTCAACTCGGTCCTTAGAACCGCCACAATTTGGTGCTTACCTCAGAACTAAGCCTTAAAGAGAGGACGGGTCCGTCCCCTCTCCAAGGCTTAGTCCTGGGGTGAGCAAACCAGCCCTTCTGGCGGAGCTGCTGGACCAGCTGCACCACTTGCGTCAGTACTCTCCTATCGTACCAACCGAGTTGAAGTAAACCGTCGACCGCTTGGGGACCCCCCAATTGCCCGTACCCACACCATCGGCAGCATACGCTCCCGAGCCGAAAACGCCCAAAAGGGGCTGTTTGCTCTTCGAACGCCAACTCCCGAAACGATACTCATGTTTATCCATTAGTTTATGTCTGCATTGCTCGCTCAAACAACAATATAGATACAAACGTGGAGCTCGAAGAAGCGGCAATTATATTTTTGTAATATGTAGGAGGCGAGAAACGGCATTCCATGGACTGTTGAAAGGTTAGTAACCGCCCCGATACTCAAGCCTCTAAAAATTTCCGATTTACGTTACGATTTAATACGTCCAGGACGAAAAGCCCACGCGGGCTGAAGAAGGATTAATAACCTCGGCTAGAAATTCACGCTGGAACTCATCGACTACCTGTGATATTCAGGGGAATACTACCAGAATTCCAATCCTGTACATATGCTTCTTTGCAAAGAAAAACTCGAAGAGATCAAATCTTGTTTAATTTCAGCGACATGAGGAGATGTCTCGAATGTTGAATGGCATTCCGATGGAAGTGAGAACCCGAAGGCGTGCGAAACCAACCTAAGCGATGTGCAAATGTTACTAAAGTTTGCGTTGAATTGGAGAAAAGTTTTTTGGAGGCAACCCTTTAGTAATCATGCTCTCCCTCCTGGCAGAGGTGATTTTAAAGTTTACCCCTTTTTGTTAAAGCCTGTTCTGCTGGGTGATTTTACGCTCCCATAATCGACAGCCCGTTGTCAAATGTGTGCGGTGGAATGGTAGGTATGCAAATTGCTTGAGAAAAATCGTTATTAACCATCAACCTCTCCTCAAGAACAACAGCTGTGCGTCAAGAAAAAGTCCCGTAATTATGGCTCCCCGGCCTAGCAGGTACACAGCGAGCGATAGACACGGAAGTTTAAAAGCAGGTGAACTGAGAGACAGAGGGAGAAAGGGAAGTCACGGTAAGGAAAATATTGGCGGAAGGATGCGGGTCAGAGCATAAGTAGCAATTTTATGGGGCCAACGCGGCTGCACAAGTGCAAAATCACCCCAACGATCAGCTAAGTATGGACGTCGCGCGGTCGAGTTATGTGAGAAGCGCCAAAGGAAATGGGCTGCCCCCGCCAGGTTTACAGCGCTAAAGTGGCATGCGCCCCCCGGCGCACATCGACGATGTCGATCACGTTGCCACACATGCCAATAACCTAGGTTCGCATCACGCCTGTCCACACGGACCCATCACAAATGATGCAACACCTACCACAGTTCAGGTATAACAACAGTGCGCTTATCAGATGTGGGTGTAGTTTGTTATTAGCTCAAGCTTTAGTGGCACAAACATTTTGCGTTATTTAGATTGGACCCGATTTGCTTCCACATAGCTTGGTGTCCCTGTAAGCAGGTCGGGCTAATTTGGAGGTGGAGACAGGTTGGACGCATCGTCAGAAGAACGCGTCTCCGTTGGGGGAAGAGCTGAGAGACGTATCATCTTACGCTTCTCATCAGTGACAATTGTCTTCATGTCGAACTTCAATCTCCGCCCTCCAGCTAGCGCCAACACGCCTCAAGTGTTCTGGTGTACCCAAGCTTCAGAAATTCAAAATTTTGACACATTGTTCTAGAAGGCAAAATCTAATAGTCAAAACTTTTCTGTCTGCTAAGTATGTGACCTCCACTTACAAGCCTTTGGAAGTAACGTCTCTCTGCTGGAATCCACGAGTGGCATCTGGTCCTTACCTGACCTGCCTGTTCCACGAGGGTGTCGGTATACTCGTGTCCCGAAGTTCAGGCAGGCTTCCCATTGCACCTATAGTAGTGCTATGGGCACCATTGCCGACTGGTGCAGGTAAGGTACCTGGATTACACTCAAAGTCACCCAAGTTTGAGAGGTCTTCCTTAGTTCCTCGCTAGAGGGTCAGCAGTGCTAATTTTCCCTCGTGCTGCTATCTCTTTTGAATGCAGGAAAGGGAATAGGGTTTGCAGTAGTCCTTTTATATCGTAGTTTTTAATAGTTTCGTGAAGATAATAGGGCTACCGTCCTCATTGACTAACCACAATGTTTTCTATTGTTTTCTTTATAGGCGCGTCAACTGCACGCATGAATAAATAAATAAATAAATAGTCATAAGTCCCTTTGCGAAAACTCGTTCTAGTTGCAGATCCCAACGATCCGGCCAACGATTCCCCAGAAGACGAAATTCTTAATGGACTCGTTAAAGCGGCTACGTTACAATCGGAAACACGAGATCATCGACGGAAGGCCCGGCAGTTCAATCGCAAATCATGTACGTTCACTCCATTTGAGACCATATTTCTGTTGAAACCGTAGTCAGGAGAGAACTAAATTCAGCTACAAATTCCACTCCGAACGAAAAAAATTATTGATCAACCTCTATTTTTCTTCAAGTTGCTGCTGAAATCAATTCTTTTATTTTCATTTTTGAGCTATACAATACCTTCATGTTGCAATGTTTAGATCATAAAACTGCCCAATAATTTTCCCTTGACACAAACTTATGCGCACTCGCTCCATACGGGAAGTTCAAGGCATTTGGAAGGTTCACTTCAGTAACGCAGTCCTTCTAGACCGTTCAGCTCACTCTTTCAATACCCCTGGCCATTGTTTGGCAATAGTATAAAGCTCAACTCTCACTGATTCATTTTCTCAATTTTTCTCGCTATGTGTAGGACTTAGGAGAGTGATTCCCATCCAACTCTCTTGAAGGGCGGTGACTTTCCAATGGGCGGAGTTTGCCAGGTTTAGTCGGGATCAAAGCCCTACCTCACAGTTTTCGGAGCTTTTTCAGTCAAAATTTTTGATCACACGTGAACTTGGTTGGAAAAACTCGATCAATTCCAAAGAAATCTATTTTCAAATTTCCCTTTTGTGACTGCCCCATCTAGGAATAGGAACGAAGGTGATCAATTTTGAAGATAATCTCTCGAACCACGATCTCCAAAGTGGGAACTTTAATCTTGAAAGCTACCATAAATGGCTTTATTTTTTGGAAATCGTGCCTTCGGATCATATTTCATTCCAGTACGCCGCACGAGGACGTTGAAGCTGGTCGACGGTCAACTGGAGACGAACTATTGAGACGAGAATGTGGTCTCGCCGCTGGAAATCTTCATTTACCGTTCTTCATCACCTTCTAGTCGCTGTACACTGCCTTTCCTTGTATGAATAATGTCTCAGCGCGTCGTTGTTGTCGTTCTTTTAGTTGAGAAGTCTACACGCTAGAGTATCGAGCATCTTGTTGTCACTGGTATTTTCTTTGTAGAGCTCTTTCCATGAAGAGATGCATTATTGTTTGGCTTTTATTCGCTCTTTTCTCTCTATTTCTCCTTCTTTTCCAATGGTCATCATTATCATCATCGTTATCATCATCTCTCTTCTCGTCTCCTTTGATTCGGATATGCCGCCGGTAAGCGGGTGGTCTGCTCGTTAGCTCGAAAAACTCGGAATATTTCGCCTCTGAAACACTTGACAAGTGCCCTGTGAGATTATTACAATTGCTACGCATTGTTGTACAGAAATCTTGAATAAATATTATATTGAGGTTATTATATTGAAGTTGCGGGATGTTTATGCTAGGGGGGGGGGGTGTGCGTCATATGGCGCGATCCCATTGGCATTGGAGCGCAAAGGCCGTAATTACCGCATCCTGCAGTAGAATGTAGAATAGAATGTAGAATCCACAAATGAGGTTGAACACAAATCTCTTTTTGTTGTATCATTGAGCTAGCTAATAGCATACAAAAAGGCAGCTTTCTACATCAAGAAAGAACAACCTTATCACTGAAGAAGCAATTCCAAGCAACCCTTCTGTAAAACTTTCACTGTGAAAGATGTTCAAAGAACGTGGCCATTACAAGTTTGACAACGTATTC